TCTCGAGGAAGAGTTCTTTAACGTCACATATTCCTCAGGCACTCAGAAGATGTCACGGTGTGGAGGGAAGGTGAGGGAGGAAGAGCGGATCCTTCAGGCAGGTAAATCAACACAGGCAAGACAGCAATGGACATTTGGTTCCTCTTTAATGGTCAGGAGTGCAGACACGACAGGGTAGACACATGTGAACACAAACTGACATGTAACGAGTATGACCCGACAAACTCACAAGCAACACACAAGGCTTATATACACACTGGGATGGGTAATCTGGTAACAAGAGGCAGGTGGACACAATTAAGGTAAAACCCAAGGCACAGGGGAGACACAATGGGACAGAAGAGGCTGATTTCACCTAGGCCTAGTCCACACGTAGCCGGGTTTTTTTTAAAACGAATATCCACCCCTCCAAAAACTTGCATCCACACCACCTCGTTTTAAAAAAAACTGTCCACACGTACCCGGATAAATACGTTGTTAAGGACATGCCAGACCTGTAGGCGGCAGTACTTCCCCCGTTCTTAACCTCGTCCTTCGTCTGTGGTCTTCCACAAGGAGCAGTAATTCCTCTTGCAAAAACAAACAAGCAGAAAGCGCTTGGACAATTGATAAAGCGAGCGCAGCTCTGAGGGCATCCATGCTGTCGGCTAGTGTAAACACAGGTCGCACACGTGATGTCAGCATTTTTTTGTTGCGGAAAGTGACGTTACGGACCTTAAAACTCCGGTTTTGTCTGTCCACACGCAGACACCCAAAACGGAGAAAACGCAGATCTTCACTTTGGCCGGAGTTTTTAAAAAGATCCGTTTTCGTGTGAAAAAACTCAGTTTTCGTATGAATGACAGGCCAAAACGTAGAAAAATATCTACGTTTTGGCAGATCCCAGGCTACGTGTGGACAGGGAATAAATCTGTTAAACAATAATTTGTTATATATATATATATATATATATATATATATATATATATATATATACATACACACACATACATAAAAGATATTAATATGTGAATGTAACTGATAAAAAATCATTATTAAATTCATCAAGTAGACTCATTTGGGGTATTTAGGATCGAAAATAAGTCATTAAATAATAAACATTTAAGTTGGTTCATTAATTTACTGTGAAGCAGTCAAGGCATTATTAAATCACTTTAGATCAACATTATCTGATTGTAAACAGCCTGTAGATTGAAAGAAATCATTTTATGAGACAAGATAAGAATCATTTTATTAAAAGAGTAAAGTCTCGTCTTTTCTTGGGGAAAATTTATTAGGAAGAAGTTGAAAAAGAATCTAACTCATGAACATTTGATGGAAAGGGACCTTCACATTATGGATGTGCAGCCGACAATGGAACGTTTCCAGTACCTTGTTGAATCTATGCCACGAAGGATTAAGGCAGTTTTCAAGGCAAAATGGGTCCAACCTGACACTGGCAAGGCGTACCCAGTGAGTGTGGAAGCTGTATGGAAACCGGACCACATCCGTTCTGCACTTGATGTGAAACAGGCTTTAGTCCAAATCTTCCCTCAGCTCACTAGTCACTGTTTACCATTAACCAGTTTCAGTTTAACAATAGCCTCCTTCTGTATTTAAGCACCCTGGTTCAAGTCACTTGTGTCAGATCCTCCTGTTCTATCCTGTAGCCGATGGTATGTCCTGGTTTTTATGTACTGTTCTTATGCCCGTCTTTCTGCCTTCTCCCATGCTTGGATTCTATTTTGTTTTTTGCATTTTATTTAACACCCCTACATTTACCTGCATGCCTCCTGGAGTTATCACCTGCACTTATAGGTTCAGTACCACCACATTCTGACATGTGTATACCTGGTAGTAAAATGTCAGATCTTTTGATTGTGCGAGTGAGTAGCCTTATACTCTGAGCTGTGTTTTCTATTTTATCTGAGTTTCTATTTTACATATGTGGGTGTTTCTAATCAACGATCAGCTATCCAGGTTGTACCTCCCTTGAACGGATAAATCAAGTTAACCAGGTGTCACCAACTCTAGTCCTTGAGGGCTATCCTGCTAGTTTTGCTAAATGGACTGTATGTGGTATAGCGCCTGCTAAAGGCTCTACAACCCCCCAAGGCACTTCACAACACAATCAGTCATTCACCCATTCACACGCTGGTGGGGATGAGCTACAATGTAGCCACAGCTGCTCTGGGGCGCACTGACGGAGGCAAGGCTGCCGAGCACTGGCGCCACTGGTCCCTCCGACCACCACCAGCAGGCAAGGCGGGTTAAGTGTCTTGCCCAACGACACGACAGCAGTTGAGCAGTTTTGAACAGTTGTCTGTGTTTCCTGCTTAACTCTGCACAGGCCTGTTCAATCAGGTGTGTAGGAGCAAAGAAACAGCCAACATGTGCAGGATGGTAGCCCTCAAGGACTGGAGTTGGTAACCCCTGAACTAAACTGACATCCGATTTTAGGTTTAGAAGGCGGTCTTGCACTGGATCAGTGCCTTGAGACAACTCTTGTCGTGATTTGGCACTATATAAATAAACTTGAATTTAATTTAATTAAACCCCGAACATATGCTCGAGCAGTGATGAAATGATAAAAGTCAACAGCCTGATGAGGAAGAAAATACCTCTGAAGAGCAGCAGGTGGTTACCTTCCTCAAGACAAAAGCTGTCAAAGTGAATTCTTGCGACATTGAACCATGTCACCTGATCCCTCGAAGGAATAACACTGAAAAACAAGCTGTGATAATAAGATTTACCAATAGAAAGCGCAAAATGGCTTTCATCAAACAAGTAAAAAAACTGAAAGGAACCCATGTCTACACAGATCGCGGATATTGCAAGAAACAAGGTAAAATTCAACACAAGTGGACTTCAAACTGTAAATATATATCAAACAGAATGGAATGTCTGAACAAGCAAAGGTGGTGCACATCAGGAATATGGAGGAGTTGGACAAGTAATGGAGGTATGATGACCTGCTGGGATAAATCTCACGATGGACTCAACATTAACTGATTCATTTCCTACCAATTCTGAAAATGTAATTCCAGATAATCAGTATATGCATTCTCAGATGTTTCAGTACACTGAAATTTATTATGTGAATATGAAAAGGGATTTGGACCCAGAAAATCGTTTTCTTCCAATGATCTCCTGTTGAAGCAAATATTACTCTGATGATCAATTTCAACAAAATGTGACAAAATTATTCATTATAAATTCATCAGTTGGATTAATTTTAAATGAAAAGTATCATCCATCTCTGGGGTGTATTATGGGACATGTGGATTGGGAAGGTAATTGTGTGGGCTGCAGTGAATAACTAGAATGCACCACAGATATGGACCCAGATAGATTTTTTTGGACCATGTAACAAGCAATTGTCTTTATTATACTGAGAATCAACTTAAGGAGAAATTGAGTTTGGAACAAGGCATATCAATTGTACATTTCAATAGTAGGAATATGTATGCAACCTTTGACAAGATTAAAGATTATTTGCAGAATAACATTCGGAAATTTAGCATAGTTGCTATATCAGAGCTGGCTTGGTCATGAAAAAGGAATACATTTTGAACTGGAAGGCTATTACTTAAATTACAGTACAAGTCAAAAGGTTTAAATGTTTTTATTTTCATGACCATTGGGAGATTCTCACTGAAGGTGTTTTCAGTTATTTCACCTTTTCGGTTAAGTACATAACTCCACATGTGTTCATTGACAGTTTTGATGCTTTCTCCCGATGTAAATGGTCGTGGAAATAAAGTCAAAATGAGAAGGTATGTCTAAACTCTTGGCCTGTACTGTATATTATTAACAGGGTAAATAAAAAGGGTGGAGGAGTACTCTGTTCCTGGATAGGAGATTAAAAGATAAAATTGTGGAAAGTAGGACAACTGTTGAAATTGAAATGGGTAAAAAGAATAATAATGTTAGCTGTATTATAGAGCACCTAATTCAAGTACAGAATGCTTTACAGAATTGTTTACAACTATGATTTCCAATGCTGAATATTTTTGCCCGGAATGCGGTACTTCTTCATACCAAAACAGTCCTGTTTACCGTGTCTAGCCTCAACATCTGTAGACATCATCATAACAAGCTGCCTTAATGCCTCTGTTTATTCATGTCTGCAAAGCACAAGGTGACTCTTCTAATACAGAATCTTCCTTTTATCTCATAAAATTATTTCCTAACCTTACAAGTTATTTACAGTCATGTTCTGTTTTATCTACAATGGATGTTTTATCAAAAGTGACTTAATAATGCCTTGACTGCTTTACAGTAATGAAAGAATCAACATAACTGTTTATTTTTTAAAAGCCTTATTTCAGATCTTAAATACGAACGAGTCTACTTGATGATGTATTAATAACTTATTATCAGCTATGTCACATATTAATATTAGTATATTAACAAATGACTGTTTAACATATTTACTTCACATATTAAGTGAAATAACCCTTTTCTAAGTGTGAAAAAGGGGACGTCTGAAGACTCTGATAACCCCTCTTAAACTTTCTGAAATCTGGTTAGTCCAAAACTTAAAGAACCTTTAAAAGAGGAAACCCTTCCTATATTCAGCAGTTCCTGCAAAAGTTTCCAGCTTATGCTAAATTACCATCCGTTTTCTGTGGAATAAGTTTTTAGCGGAATAAGAAACATCCTTTTTCAGAATCAGCCAATCTTTAAACGTTTAAATCTGCTAAACAACTCAACAGACATGAAACGGTCTGCCTGCAGACCCAAGAGGCTATCTCTAACCAGCTGATGCAGATTAAGAGGAATAAGGCCTGTGACATCTAGAAGTCGAGCTACTCGCTTGACGGGAAGACTTTGTGCCAGCCGGATCACCAAGAAGCCTCCATTCACACGGGTACCGTAACTCTGCATTGGAATTGGATGGTTTATTATTCATTTTACAACTCGTTAAACCTCATAAAATTTCAACCAGATTTATTTTATAAACCCAGACATCACACATTTTCTAAGTCACTTAATCAGGCTTTTAAGAACATCTAACATCATATTTCATCAGAGTTTATTCATTGTCTCAGTTGATATTACCTTAAATCACCATTTATAATCATTTGTCCTGCATCATCATTAGTAGAAATATAGTAATAAACTGATTTTTAGAAACTATATTTTTGCCTCTAAGTCAAATTGTTAAAAAGTGTTGGTTCCTACTGTACCTAGCTTTAAAGTTAAAGTTGCCACACACTGGTGAAATTGGTTTGTTGCATTTAACTCATCCATGCTGTTGTTTTTATTGTTTACTTGCGTTATATTTTCTCTGTGGTTGCACAGCACTTTGTTTGAATACTGTATAAATACAGTTATTTTCATTATTATTATTATTATTATTATTATTATTATTATTATAAAAACAAATGACTGACTTGGATTGGGGCAAAACATGGAACATCTCTATTCAAAATGTTTTTAAGATTATGTTGCTCATTCTAACGGAGCCTGAGCCCCTGAAAGAAGTTATATCGGCCTGATTTTTAACAAAAATAAAAACACTTTCGATTAAAAATGTATTTGTATTCAAAGGTTTACAGAGAAATTTAGTTCAACATGATCCAGACTGCACAGTTCAGAGTTGAACCCACAGCATGTAAACAGATTGGTTTAGACAGTTTTCCACATTTGTAAACTGGATGGAAAGTGACTTAAAAATGAACAAGAAAAAAAAATCCTCTGCTTCTTTCCCAGCACCTGTTTGCATTTCGCTCCTCCATCAGACATTCATTGACAACATGAGGAACTGTAAGGGAAAGTGGAGTGTTAGTGCAGTCGATTAAAACCAATCTGCAGGTAATAACTTCAAAAACGTCAAGACTAAAAATAAATAAAGAACAAAAAGTTGTTTGAGAGATCACAGAATTAGGATCTAAATACTCATCTATTGGGTTTTATTAGGTCACATTCATGTACATCTTCTTCAGCACTCGAGGAGTACAGACGCTTCTCTCTTTCGCTCCCTTATCTTTTTTTTCCCAAGGCCTGTCTGCCCACAGAGCGCTTCTCTGCATTTCTTCTGAAGAACTCTTTTTTTACTAACCATGGATTTGATAAACTGGTCATTCGATGCGATCGATAAGATTTTTTCAACAATGAGAACAGAGCAGGGGGCTCCCACATGTTCACAGGGGACGCACCCGGTGGGGTATATGCTGGATTCCTGGAAGGAGTGGAAGATCATATGCCTCAGCCAGCTGTCCATTGAGGATATTGAAGACGTGTGGATATTCGGCCTGATGATCACTGGATTTCTCCTGATTAGAGTGGGAGGATATCTGGTTTTCTGGAAATTTGGGAAGACGGGAGGGATTGGAGGAGGACCCACACCCACGGAAAGCACCGTCCGTGTGGAGACCTCACAGACTGGGACGTAACTCGAGGTGAATCGTAAGCTGGACAATGTTCTAGCTGCGATACCGGTATTAGTGCACAAAATGGATGTCATCTTGGAGAGAGTCACCGGACGGTATGGACAGGTTTAAAAAACCCAAAATTGGCTTCACTGAAGGACTGGAATGATCAGTCTAAAGACTGGAGGCAGAGAGGAAAATTATCTCATCCTGACCCAAACAAGTTCTTGTTATCTGAAACTGACGTCCTGGTAGCCTTGAGCGGCAAGCAACAAACCCCCACGAAGAAATGCAGACTGATGCTGTGAACCCCCCACCCCCCACCATCGGATTGGTGGACTTCAGCTTGGCGAGGTCATCAATCTGCAGGAGTCAATGTGCTCTTCGCTTCTCCCAAGATCTCCCTCCCACCTGTGACTGTACAGTAGATGAGCGCCGTAGATGGCTGCTCTCGCTGGGGGGAACAGGATCCCAGCCACCCCACCCCCCTGCCTTCCTATTGGAGTCTCATGTTATGTTGTGTTGTCTGAAGTCTTGCATATTTGTTGAGGTGTATTCTTGTAGAGCAAAGCTACCCTCCTGGTGGGAGAGTAACTCTGAAGTGCCTTTTTTCCCTCCACCTGAACCAATCCTCATGTAACACTCTGATCTCCATTAAGGTAGCGCGACTCGGGTTGCGAATGACCAGTCACCAATTCTTGTTGTGTGTCTTGCCCATGTATGTCTGATCTCTGAATTGTGTTTACTGAAACTCTAATTTCCCTCTGGGATTAATGAAGTATTGATTGATTGATTGATTGATTGATTGATTGATTGATTGATTGATTGATTTGATTGACATTTACCTGCATGATGTTCATGTTCACTTTCCCTTTGTTGGATGTGTCCAGCGCCTGGAAAACTCCTACATGGGAATAATGACTTCATCAGCTATTAAAGTTCATCTAAATACAAAATTCTTTCCAAGAAATGTTTATTTGTGTCTTTCACTTACTAAACATGTTCTCTAAACGGACAATGCAGGTGAGGTAGTCATCAAAGTCAATTTCATAGTCATCGTCAGCAAACCTCAAGCCAACCAGCTGCAGTAGCCTGTTGTTCAGTTGCATGCCTTCATGGGAGTGAAGCAGAAAGTTTTACCCGGATGTACAGCTGGGATTATTTCTGCAATCATTCCTCCAAGACTGTTAGTAGAATTTAATTACAAGTACTTTTAGGAATAATAATGAAACAAAATGAAGGTGTCAGCTGATGTACACCACGTGGATAAAAGTACAGGTAAAGTGTTTTTCCCCTTTACAGACTAACTGTTTTTGCTTTTCTGACTTAAATATTTCAGAACAGCGTCTCTCTCAGCACTATGGGGGAATTTTCCCCACTCTTATAACAGAATTCTCATAATTCAGCCACATTGGAGGGTTTTCCGATATGAGCGGCCTGTTTGAGGTCAAAGGTCAGATATCATCCTTCAACATGTACTGCTAGAGAACAGAATTCATGGTTCCATCCCTTCTAGCAAGTGGTTCAGTTCCTGAAGCAACAGAGCAGCCCCAGACCATCACACTACTACCGCCATGTCTGACCGTTGCTATGAGGATTCAGTGTTTTAAGCCTAGGGCACATCGAAGACAGAAGCGCAGCGTTGCACCGTCATGTTAAATAGAAGCCATTGTAGTTAATGAGAGTGGCTACACGGGGAGCAGCGAGCTGCGGCCCAGAAGAGCCCTGCCGAGGCGCGGCTGAAGATAGGCGCTAGTTCGATTTCAAGCGCCACGGTGCTGTTTACAACATTGTGGAGTACTTTACAACAGACAGAACTGCTTTACGGCACAAAGCCAGTCACAGTTTTGATAACTTTAAAGTACTGTTGATCTTAAAATATGCTAATAAATAGCGTGCTTACCCATTTTTAATGAATTAGAGTCTCACAAAACACAGCGGCAAGTCTGATCACGCATAAACAATAGAGTCACTTCCTGTTCTCAAGTCCCGACGCGTCCTGGGTGACCATTTAACTTCCCAAAACCGCGGCGCTTCCATCTCTGGTGTGCCCCAGGCTGAACGCCAGATGGAACCAGACACGCCAACCAGAGGCTTCTGCTTTGTCTCATTATTCCAAGGATAATTAACCCGGAAGTCGTTGGGATCATCAAGAGGTGTTTTGATAAATGTGAGACAGGTCTTTGCGCTGTTTTTGCTCAGCCAAGGTTTTGGCATTGGAGAGCCAATGGAGGATATTTTTGCCCCATTCCCATCTTATCAGTAAATCTGAACACCAGCCTTCCAGTGTTTGTATCAGACCTGTTTCCATAGATGTCTGAAATCAAGCTCACAGCCATACAGATCTCACATTTTTTGCTTAAAATTTTTTAGTATCTCCTGACTGGCTAGTTCGCTACTCAGTGTTTCATTTATATTCTGTTAGTCTTCCAGTTTTAGTCCAGTGCTGTTTTTTTGTAGATCCTTTTACCTGTTTCACGGTCAGTTTTATTAGTTTAATCAGTGCTTTCACATACTTAGCTATTCCTGGCTGACCACTTTCTGCACGTCATTTTGCATCACGGTACAATGCCATTGCAGATTTGAGTGATGTTGAGCTGTTCTTGGCAGACTAAAAGCTGAAGATCCTCCATCCATCATTCACAAATATTATCCAATACCCAAAGAAAGCTTTTGTTAAGCTATATATAAATAGCATGTCATGTATTTAATACCATGTGTTCAAGTCTTAGCTTGTCTCAGTAGAGAATGAGTCTGGTAACTCACAGGCAGAGAGGCACTTGAGGGGCGGGACTAGGCAGCTCAAAAATGACCAATCAGAAAAAAGACGGAAATCCCGACTGTACCGCATGACGTGGTAGATTTCTAGTTCATTTGACCTGTTTCACGGTCAGTTTTAATAGTTTAATCAGTGCTTTCACATACTTAGCTATTCCTGGCTGACCACTTTCTGTTATCTCCCTCATTTTTGCCACCAACTCCTGCTTAGCCTTCCTACCTGATCTCTATTGGTTTGAATTATATGTTAGTTGTAGTACCGGTTTCACAGCTTTAGTTATGGTCTGCAGTTCTGCTTACGCCATATTTTCACCTAAAGAACTTTTATAAAGGAGCGCTTTCTGGATTCAACAAAACAAGAGACACTCCAAGGCACTCTCAAATAGAAAAAGTGAAAAAGCCTTTGTTGTAATGGCTAGGTCACATATGGCCTTTTTAAAAACTCCAACGCGTTTCGGTGAATGTAGCCTTCGTCAGGGAGTTTGGCTACCTGACGAAGGCTACATTCAAGTGACTTGGTCATGTTTTTATTTTTCACTTTCTTCCTTGGTGGCCCCTTTTGAGTGTGGTCACTCGGAGCCGATAAGCTAAACTCTAAAACATGTAGCCCAGAGCAATGTGGGCTGCTGCTAATGCTGACCTAAATCAGCTCGTCTCCTAACTTACATTTTGTTTAATTTAATGTGATTTAAATATAAATTTAAATATCAAATATGCTTAAGTCATCAAGACAACAGATGCAAGTCAATTCAAGTCGCTACACAGGTAGGACGCTCGCATTCTGCAAGTAACAAGACTGCGGAAGCGGTCTTCTGACAAGACCGTCCTCACAAAGTAACACACATAACACCATAAAACAGTACGTACGTACTAGGGATGTAAGAAAATATCGATATGGTAATATATCGTGATATTTTCTCCAACAATATTATATCGATATTCAAAAGCCGTGTATCGGAAATATCGATATGGCAATATATCGTGATATTTTTTCCTGCGATTATTACATTGATATTCAAAAGCCATGTATCTAATTCTTGAAAGAATTTACATGCAAACTTTTGTGTATTTTCTTTTTGTTTTGTGCAATTCAATCGCCACCCACTAGTTGGCAGCAGTGTGCAACAGGTTTTGTTTCCACCATTGAACTGTAAATCCCTCCATCATGGTTCAGATACCTCATGCTAAACATGTTACGTATCAGTTTGGACTGTTTATTGAACATTCTTACAATAAATTCAGTAAAAAAAATTGCTTGTAACGTCTGACTGAATGTATCGCAATATATCGCGATATATCGTATCGTCTCCCCTGTATCACGATATGTATCGTATCGCCAGAATTTCAAAAATACACATCCCTGCTAAACATGTTACGTATCAGTTTGGACTGTTTATTGAACATTCTTACAATAAATTCAGTAAAAAAAATTGCTTGTAACGTCTGACTGAATGTATCGCAATATATCGCGATATATCGTATCGTCTCCCCTGTATCGTGATATGTATCGTATCGCCAGAATTTCAAAAATACACATCCCTGATAGGATGTAATTATTACTTCTACAGAGAGATGCTGCTCAAAGTCAGCTTCATGGAGTGGGTTTGTATGACTGAGCAGCTGCATGCAAGCTCCACATCATCAAGCATGAGTGGAGTGGTGGAAGTCAGTCACATTCTTGCAAAATAACATGAATTATAAACCAGATCAAATGTAATATGTCTGCCAAGAAAAATGAAGCACAGTTAACAAAAACTATCAGATAAATGGATAAATTGTAAATTTTCTGGTTACTCACCTGCAGCTTTCAGAGCATTACGAAGCTCATAGGAGGACATCTTTCCTGAGCGGTCTGTGTCAAAGGCCAGGAAAAGCATCTGCAACAACAAGTTTGTTTTTACCTAAGAAACTAGGAGCTTTGCTCCCAAACGTTTTTCCATCCCATTCTAACTTAACCACATGAATCGATACACACAATCCACTTCTTCATCTTTTCCCAGAACACCTTGAACTCCTGGAATTCTAGCTTCCCCGTGTTGTCCACCTGGTTTACCATTAAGGAACGTGTTAGGATTTCATACTTTTATAAATCATTCAAGACAAAAACACGTTGGCGAAAATCTACATTCACTTATATGTTCTGCGGTCTACTGCTATAAGTGGTAAGGATACATCCATTAGATTGATGATGCTGTGACAGGTACTGAGACTCAGGCCATCAAATTTGATCTCTTTTCCTGAAGAAAAAATGCAACCAAACATCACAAAAGACACTATAAAATGGAAAAATGTGCAATTTGCTATGTGCAACAATGCTGTATCTGTTGTCTGCCCACTGCGACAAGCTGTTATAATTAATCTCTAGAACTCTATCGCCCTGAGCCTGAGATTAGTGGACTCAGTGGTCTCCTTTAAAAAGCATCTGAAAACCTCATCTGTTCAGACTGGTGTTTGCATGATCTTTGGTTATTTCTTCATCATTACCGTTTCCTCATTCTGTTCTTCCTACCAATTCTGCCTTTCCCGGGATCCTCTGATTACCTTTTTCTTATTTAGTTTTTCCCTTTCCTCACGTTTTTCACCATTTTTACTTTTTCCATTTGTATCATATTTTTAAATAACTATTTAATCCTCACATAGGGATCACAGTCTTATCTTCATTCGGCTGTAGAAAGCTCCCAGCCATCCAGGTTTAATAGAGTCTAAGCAGGTGTGCAACAGCTGCAGCTTAGACATCTCATGGGGCTCAAAGGATATGCACAGTTGGATGTCATCTGCATAAAGATGGTAGGAGATTCCTTTAAAGCAGCTCAGGGTGAGCTGAAGAGGAAGCAGATAGAAGAGGAACAGTAGAGGCCCCAGCACAGACCCTAAGAAGAGCGGTTTCAGTAGAATGAGCTGTCTGCGAAGGTTCTCAGTCATCCAGGTCATTGTAGTCTAATGAGCTTTGAAAGAAAAGCGCCTGGACTTCTTTGAGTTGCTTGAGTTGGCTCATGTGTTTATGTAGAAGATCATCGGGGGGCCTTTTGTTCCCTTTTGGGGGGAAAATCCCACTGGGTTTAAATCTGGGACTCTCCACCATTTGACCTTAGAACTGAAGAAGCCTCTCGGATGAGAGGTGAAACGTCTTCAAGCAACTCAAAGAAGTCCGGACGCTTTTCTTTCAAAGCTCATTAGAGTAGAATGAGCTCTACGAAAACCTGACTGGAAGCTATCATAGATGTTATGTTCATCAAGAGCAGCTGTGAGTTGTTTAGCCACAACCTTTTCCAAGATCTTGGAGATGAACGGAAGTTTAGAGATGGGTCTGAAATTTCTACGGAGAGAGGGGTCAAGACTCGGTTTTTTAAGAAGTGAGTGGATTACAGCGTTCTTAATATAAGCAGGGACCTGACCAGAAACCAGACAATCATTTGTTACAGAGAGGACTGAAAGGCATTTCTAAACAAAGACGAGGGTAAGATGTCGAGGGGAAATGCAAAAGTTTACAGAGTAGTTTGGTTAGCTCGGGCAAAGAAACAGGAGCAAAGCTATCAAGGGTCGGGTTGGTGTTGGGAGGGGCAGAGATAGAGCCGAGGGAGAGACGCTGGATGTAAGCTTGTTGATTTTGTCCATAAAGAAAGACAGTCTCCATCAAAATGGATGAAGGCAAAAAATAAACATGTAAATAACTTATGTCAAACTTATAAAGCATTAACAGTCTGCGTTTGGCTGTATACTGCCCAAAAGCCTTGGTTTTGTTTTATAAATTCATTGGCTGCCAGTTCAGATGTTCTGTTTTCTTCGCTGTTAAGTTGTTGGTGGTTCAGGAGGTCAGAGTTTGTTTTGTAAGCAGTGGCCTGATTCTAATTGTGTCTCAGTTGTGTCCTTGAGCAAGACACTTCACCCTCCTTGCAAACTGTCAGACAAAAATTTGTAGAAAATTAAGTTTTTCTTCAACTTACTCCTGCTGAGAACACCGTTCAGCATCTGCTGCAGCTCTCTGACACTGATAGCGTTATCCTGGAGATGCAGCAACATGAAAGAGAAAATAAAAGTTACATCTACACACCATCTGCTGATCCGTCCAAGCCAGTTTCCTGGCTCACCTGTTGTGTTGTGTGTGTGTGTTAACATTTAAATGTTCATGTTATTTTATTCCGGTATTGGAAAAATGATCAAGGAGCCACGCATGTGTAAATGTGTCGAGATGTCCTGCAACGCATGATTCATTTATTGGGATGAACAGAAGGTTGGTAACAGACTAGCTGTCACAGAGGGGAACATCTGTACTCCACTGATACGCATGAAGTCCAAGTTCCCCTTCTTTGTGTACAGAGGTTATGTCAATAAACTCTAACGTATTGTCCCAGTCTTTCCTAGGGCATAGTTCTGCATTGATTTATAGTGTGTGAGTGGTGTATAAGAATAAAGCATCTAAAAACCAAATTATATTGATAATAAAGCACATCAGATATTAAATTAAAAAATCTAATGTAAGATACCACCACTGGTGCGTCATGGTGGTTGTAGCTCCTAGGAGCGGCCCAGCTGAGGTAGGATTTAATTTTTCTGCATGAAGAGTGGAAACTTTAGCAACACATAGGCTAAGATTCTGTTTGGATCGTACCTTCCTAGTCTGTCTTTCAGTCAGTGGGGTTACATGAGTACTGACTGACATCTAAGTCTATCCAGGTCGATCTTATTATAATAAAGCCAGGCGTACACTGTGCGACTTTTTCACTCGCAGCGTTCAGCTTCAGCTCAAACTGTACAACTTCCTCGCAGAGCAGATCTCACGAGTCATGCGCTCACACTGCACGACCCAGTTCTCGCATGCGACCTGACTGCTCACACTGTACGTCTGGTAGCAACACGTCGGCCCTAAAAATGTGCTAAAAATAGCAGTTTTCACTCAACACGTCAGACTTTTTTGTCTTGTCTTGCCTGTTGTCCTTCGGGAGTGCTGCAGGAGGACACACAGGGATTTATGGGGGTTGGATGAGGAAAACGAAATAAAGAAAGTGAATCTGTGTTTTGTGATCAGTTTAATTTGACATGAACACGACAAACACGCTTTCTTGACAATCTTTGTGAGTAAAAAAAACGTGTAGAAACAAAAACGAACAGCGTGTGTTATTACGGAAATAGCGAGCGGCCGGCGTTGATGCAGGATTGCGCGCGCATGCGCCGTGAGCGGTTCTGATACTTTTTGGATCGTAGCTGCTCGCAGCGCTGCTTCAACAATGCGATACCCTCACGAGGGACGAGCGAAATATTAAACACACCAGAAGTCCGTGCGACCTCACGACTGCTGATCGGCAGCTGGTCACGTGGTGTTAATCGCCTCTCGTAACCCCCCGTACACTACACGACCGCTCGGCGCAAAACTCGCCCCGATCTCGTGGATTCTCGCACGACTGGAAAATCGGCTCAAAAAAGTGAAAAAGTCGCACAGTGTACGCCCGGCTCTAAGCTGGGAGTCATTATCCTAGTTTACATGCGCATTAGAAAACTGGCCTTTGAAATAAAGTTCTTTCCACTCCGGTACAGTAGGTGGCGACATGCCTCTTTTCATGTCGGCATTCTTACGGTTAGCTCATAGCAACACAACCAGTGAACAGAAGCTGGCGTGAGTGAAGCAGACGGAAGTGCACAGTGGCTGAAGGAATGTACAACAATGCAGCAGCACAGCTTATTTGGTACGTACCAGGGATGTGTATTATTGAAATTCTGGCGATACGATACATATCACGATACAGGGGAGACGATACCATATATTGCGATATATTGCGATACGTTCAGTCAGACGTTACAAGCAATTTTTTTTTACTGAATTTATTGTAAGAATGTTCAATAAACAGTCCAAACTGATACGTAACATGTTTAACATGAGGTATCTGAACCATGATGGAGGGATTTACATTTCAATGGTGGAAACAAAACCCGTTGCACACTGCTGCCAACTAGCGGGTGGCGATTGTATTGCACAAAACAAAAAGAAAATACACAAAAGTTTGCATGTAAATTCTTTCAAGAATTACATACATGGCTTTTGAATATCAATGTAATAATCGCAGGAAAAAATATCACGATATATTGCCATATCGATATTTCCGATACACGGCTTTTGAATATCGATATAATAATGTTGGAGAAAATATCACGATATATTACCATATCGATATTTTCTTACATCCCTAGTACGTACGTACTGTTTTATGGTGTTATGTGTGTTACTTTGTGAGGACGGTCTTGTCAGAAGACCGCTTCCGCAGTCTTGTTACTTGCAGAATGCGAGCGTCCTACCTGTGTAGCGACTTGAATTGACTTGCATCTGTTGTCTTGATGACTTAAGCATATTTGATATTTTAGCACAAAAGTGGCACGACAAAATCATGAATCATTCTTCGCTCTGGGTTTGATCTTTTACTGTTAAATGCAGCAGCACTTTGTTTATTATCAGCTTCAGTTGCATTTTCTGTTTGTTTGAGCGAATAAACGAAGCTTTAAGAAGCTTTATTTCTGGAATTTATTTATTATCATCGTTGTTAAATTGAAGTTTGACAGATAACTTGATTATGACTTGAAAATTTAAAGTTAAGGACTTGGACTTCCGTATAATTGACTTTGGACTCGAATTGGACTTGGTTGTCTTTGACTTGGACTTGACTCGACCTACTTGTAACTAGCAAAGTAGTGACTTGGTCACACCTCTGGTACTGGGCCTCTTTCTCTGTGCCATACAGCCCACTTCTGCGGGCCAGATCATGTTTTATGCTGACAATACCCAGCTCTATATGTCATTCCCACCTCAGATGCTTCATCTCAAACACAGATCTCAGACCTCATTTCTAGTCTTTAATCAGCCTAAAGGAACACACATTACTCCTTTGTTTGTTGAGCTCTAATGGCTACCCTTAGTGACCAGCATCAAATACGTAATTTTTTTCTTAGCTCAGTGGTAATTAGTCACATTCACATTTGCAAGCTGCTTTGGTCAAAAGCATTTCCCAAATACATAAACGTTTTTGTACATGTTTATTACCGAACCAGCCAGCTGCTCAAAAAGTCTTCTCAGGCTTTTCTCTTCACTTGTTTCCTCTTCTGGAGGGCTGGGCATGGGTGGCTGGTGGAAAGAACACGGCGTTAGAACAAACAGGAATAACTGACTGACGGGGTGATTAATTACCAGTATCATGTTTTTCTTACATCTGGCAGATCAGCATCAACAGTGGTCCCCATCTCTCTATGAAATGTAAACAAATGCTCTTAAAACAAGGTACATATATTTTTTCCCAATCTAAAACCAGTACCGGTGCAACAATATGACCTAATGAGCATTGTTCTTTTAGATTTCTAATTGGGGTATAAAACGATCGCTTGTTGGATCACTGAATACTCACACAGCTCCGGCCTTCTTCTCAGAAAAGATGCGGATGAGGAAGTCAGCCTCTTGGTGTGGTTGGAAGGTAGTGGGGACCAGCAGGTATTTACCGGGGGGCAGGCTGAAGCGCTCTGCCACCTCCCGCATGTTGATGTAGGTCCTGCTACGAGCCTTGGATGCATTGTAGCGGAAGAAGTCCTTTCCCATGTGGTCGTCGTCATCTGGAGCCTGAATGAGAAGACAAAAAAATAAGGTCTAGTGTGGGTATTTTAACGCAATAATAGATCGCTAGATAAATGTCGGGTAGAAGAGATCTCTCTGGAGGGTTTTTTTGCCATATTGCTTGAAATGGGAGTTTCAAGTCAATGGTTAGGAGGATTCCCCAGATTGCCATTGATTCTGTGCTGCTGTGATTTATGCTAGCTATATATGCTAGCATACTAAATTGTTTTATAGTGATGAAGGTGTGTTATGTTAGGAATTATGGCAGAAAAGGTGCCAACAATATGTTATAATAATGTTATAATGTTATAGCATTTGCTGTGGCCAACAAATTCTGTGTCTCTAGGGGGAAGTTGAGAATAGGGGTAGGACCTTGGAATTGAATGTTTTTTCCAAGATCTTACACGCCACCTTCAAAACACTACAGAGAAATTATAAAATTGAAATGAAATAAAGCCCAAGGTCCATGGGCTTCATAAGTCCAAAGGTGCTGAGTATTGTCTTTGACCTGATACATAGCAAAGCCAATGGTCTCCAAGTCCAAGCCTTCTTTCCTTAGTTTTCGTCTGTTCTTTTGCATTAAAGCAATCACCACACTACACAGATGATGGTTATCATCAGCATCCTTCAGCTCCAGCTTAAACTGAGGGTTGGTCCAAAAAGTGTCTGCAAGATAGTTTGATGCAAAAATTTTAGTCAAAAATTCCACCGTGAGATATCAAAATATGTACAGATCTAAGGAAACGTTCTAGTACCAATGTAGTTCCTGCAGCCTCCAGCGGTGGAGCCACGAATCCAGTTGCCCTCAAATGTGTTGATCGTCCACTTGTACATTGTGTCATCACTGAGAGCATCAGGAGTCATGTTGCAGATTTCAACTTTGTCGTAGTTCTTTTTAAAGTCCTCAAACTCCATCCTGCATTCAAAATACAACATCAGGGCAAACATTAAGTAAACATTAGTCTGTGTGTGTGTGTGTGTGTGTGTGTGTGTGTGTGTGTGTGTGTGTGTGTGTGTGTGTGTGTGTGTGTGTGTGTGTGTGTGTGTGTGTGCAGTGAGATGCATCCCCTCTGTGCGGATGAGCGTGAGCGGCCCAGACTTTCATGCTTCCATCTGCTGCCTCTGGCGTACTACAGGCCAAAACGACACTTTCGGACTCTTTCTTCAGTGCGTCCACCAGCGGGGTCGGGGATCACGACGGGCACAGACAACCCTGCGGCCGCAGCTCTGGTCGGCCGCCTCAACAATGGAAGCACGAAACATGGCCCACTCGGACTCAATGTCCCCAGCCTCCCCCGGAACATTTTGGAAGTTCTGTCGAAGGTGAGAGTTGAAACTTCTTCTGACAGGAGACACCGCCAGACATTCCCAGCAGACCCTCATAATACTTTTGGGCCTACTAGGTCTGACCGGCATCTTCCCCCACCATCGAAGCCAACTCTCCACCTTCCCCCGAGTGTCTACAGATCAGACAAAACGACAACAAAGTCGATCATCGAGCTGTGGCCTAAGGTATCCTGGTGCCAAGAGCACATAGGGACACCTTTATGTCTGAACATGGTGGTTATTATAGACAATCCATGACTAAGACAGAAGTCCAATAACAAAACACAGCTCGGATTCAGATCAGGGGGACCGTTCCTCCCCACCACACCTCTTCAGGTCTCACTGTCGTTGCCCACGTGAGCGTTAAAGTCCCCCAGCTGAACGAGGGAGTCACCGGAAGGAGCGCTCTCCAGCCCCCCCTCCAAGATCTCCAAGAAGGGTGGGTAGTCTGAGCTGAAGGTTGGTGCATAAGCACAGACCACAGAAAGCACTCGTCCCCCTACAACAACAGTTAAATGCAAGTTTTTTGCATACGTGTAAGGCATGTCCTGGGTGTTTTTCATGTAAAGGTGATGTTATGGTGAAAATGGAGTCCCACACTTCCTGTCTACCTGGCTCGTGTCCCTTTGAAAGGCAGGTAGACACATTATGTGTCAAATATGGAGAAATAATGAAATGTTAAATCAGGCGTGTTGCTTTCAACCTCACCAGAACTCCCCGTCATCAGACGAATTCTGCTGGAGACGGCTTTTCTCAGCACTGTCCACATAATTCCATTCTCTGGAACTGAGAGACACAGAATGCCAGTTAGATGGGACATGAAAACGAGGACCCGCTGTAGCACAACAGAACTAAGCCAGTCGTTTTTCTTTTATTGACTAAATCTTTTTGGTGTTAGAAGCTTTAGAAAGTCCAGGGGCCTCATTCATCAAATGTTCGTAGAAAAATTCAAAAATTTCTTCCTGTGAACGAAATTTAGGATGTTCATACAAACGGTCAAAAACCTGATTTATGTACGCACCTTCCTCTCGTCTGATGATAAAACTACCCTGTGCCCACTTTGACTCGTATAAAAAATTCCAACGCAACTGCAAAAGCCATTTGTCGTGCTGCAGAAAAATGTTTAATCTTGTAACAATGTTTTTACTTTGTGATATACAGGTGCTGGCCAGTAAATTAGAATATCATCAAAAGGTTGAAAATATTTCAGTAATTCCATTCAAAACGTGAAACTTGTACATTATAGTCATGCAATGCACACAGACCAATGTATTTCCAATGTTTATTACGTTTAATTTTGATATTTATAGGTGACAACCAATGAAAACATCAAATCTGGTATCTCAGAAAATTAGAATATTCTAAAGGCCAATGAAAAAATGTTTGTTTCTCTAATGTTGGCCAACTGAAAAGAATGAACATGAAAAGAATGTGCATGTATAGCACTCAATACTTAGTCGGGGCTCCTTTTGCCTCAATAACTGCAGTAATGCGGCGTGGCATGGACTCGATCAGTCTGTGGCACTTCTCAGGTGTTATGAGAGCCCAGGTTGCTCTGATAGTCGTCTTCAGCTCCTCTGCATTGTTGGGTCTAGCGTATTGCATCCTCCGCTTCACAATACCCCATAGATTTTCTATGGGGTTAAGGTCAGGCGAGTTTGCTGGCCAATCAAGGACAGGGATACCATGGTCCTTGAACCAGGTGCTGGTGGTTTTGGCACTGTGTGCAGGTGCCAAGTCCTGTTGAAAGGTGAAGTCTGCATCCCCATAAAGTTGGTCAGCAGCAGGAAGCATGAAGTGCTCTAAAACTTCCTGGTAGACGGCTGCATTGACCCTGGACCTCAGGAAACAGAGTGGGCCAACACCGGCAGATGACATGGCACCCCACACCATCACTGACGGTGGAAACTTTACACTGGACCTCATGCAACGTGGATTCTGTGCTTCTCCGCTCTTCCTCCAGACTCTGGGTCCTTGATTTCCAAAGGAAATGCAGAACTTGCTTTCATCAGAAAACATAACTTTGGACCACTCAGCATCAGTCCAGTCCTTTTTGTCCTTGGCCCAGGCGAGACGTTTCTTGCGCTGTTTCTTGTTCAAGAGTGGCTTGACACACGGAATGCGACACCTGAATCCCATGTCTTTCATGAGTCTCCTCGTGGTGGTTCTTGAAGCGCTGACTCCAGCTGCAGTCCACTCTTTGTGGATCTCCCCCACATTTTTGAATGGGTTTGTCGTCACAATTCTCTGCAGGGTGCGGTTATCCCTAGAGCTTGTACACTTTTTTCTACCACATTGTTTCCGTCCCTTCGCCTGTCTGTTAATGTGCTTGGACACAGAGCTCTGCGAACAGCCAGCTTCTTTAGCAATCACCTTTTGTGTCTTGCCCTCCTTGTGCAAGGTGTCAATGATTGTCTTTTGGACAGCTGTTAAGTCAGAAGTCTTCCCCATGATTGTGGTGCCTTCAAAACAAGACTGAGGGACCTTTTAAAGGCCTTTGCAGGTGTTTTGAGTAAATCAGCTGATTAGAGTGGCAGCAGGTGTCTTCTATATTCAGCCTTTTCAGAATATTCTAATTTTTTGAGATACCAAATTTGGAGTTTTCATTAGTTGTCACTTATGAATATCAAATTTAAATGTAATGAACATTGGAAATACATTGGTCTGTGTGCATTGCATGAATATAATGTACAAGTTTCACGTTTTGAATGGAATTACTGAAATATTTTCAACCTTTTGATGATATTCTAATTTACTGGCCAGCACCTGTAAGTGCCTCTTTTTAAGTTTCTTATTTGTTTTTCTTTTGTTGTTACTAAAGATGCCTTGTATGTTTCTAAAAAAAAAAAAAAAACTACCCTGTGCGGTTCCAGCAGGACCGAGCGCAATTTGTGGCAGCCCCCGACACTTCCGGGTGGCACCTGCCAGAGAAATGACTGGCTCTACCAGCCTGAAGCGGCACCTCTGGCAGATCGAAATATTTCAAATATTTCGAGCGGTTTACGAACACATTTCCCAGTCACTCCATGTGTATACAGTGTAATGCAATTAGAAGCATTAATTCATTTATTTTTCCATCATTTTTATTGCTCCCCCAGACGAATCCGTGTTATTGAGCTCCAGTGGCAGATCCACTGACACTTCCAGGTTACCGGCATTGGGTCACCGGCCTCTGGCAGGGGCGGCGTTAGGCCCGGCTACTTGGGCTGAAGCCCTGGATGTTTTATGAAAAGCCCTGGATCTAAATCGCGGAAGTAACATGCAGTACCAAAGTCCAACAGAGAGGGAGCAGCTGGCAGTAGTTTGTATACAGCCTGCCTGAGCCTCCACCACTGAAGAAGAAGCCCTTCAGCAGCCGGCTTCTTCTACACTCTCTGCCTGAAACGCATGAGTGAAGATGGACATGAGGACGTTTTTTAGACCAAAAGTACAACGACAGAACCCCAGCTTTGATGAGACTGGTGTTGACTCAGGTTTGTGAGTCTTATTTGAAAATATTTTTTGTGCTGCTGGTTTGCCTAAAGTTAGCTTATCAGGTAAAGTTGTTGCAGAAAGAAAGGGAATATTTACTATCATCTCACACTAAACACTAACAGGAACAATACTCTGCCCTGAAAATGCTTAATATGTAGCTTCAGATTAAAAATTATGTGGTACAAGACAAATATGATGTTGACTAGTGCGTGTCACGTGTGTGTGTGGGCGTGCGTGTGCGCTTGTGTGCGTGTGTTAAGCCCCGGATGTTCTTCAGTCCTTAATCCGCCCCTGGCCTCTGGTACGGAGTCAGGCTGCAGGTGGAGCACCAGAGCAGTTCTGAATTTCTGAAATAATTTATGACAACTGCTACCAATGTGGATTGTGGAATAAAAATAGATAAACTGTTAGTTTTCTCTATATTGTCATTGCAATCAGGGCACATAGCGCCATATTCCGACTTAAAATGGGGTGGGGGGGTGGGGTGGGGGTTCTGGTAGTTGTAAAACAGAATATGAACTGGAATCGGATTTGTGCCGTTTATCTGTCGCTCCACAAAGAGTCCCAAATCCCAGCACAGCTCCAGACAGATCTGCTGTCAGCGCGCTCACGGAAAGGCGCTAACTCCAGAGAGCACGCTCTGACAAATCCTTTATAATAACATAGAAACGTTCTTTTATCTGATGCATCTCAAGCAAAATCAGGAGGCGTTTCACAAGGACTAAAATATAATATAATAAAACTAAATTAAAAATAATATTAATTCATTAAAAAGATGAAAAACATCATAAAAATGGGAAGAGAAAATTGTGATTACATAAAACACAAAATCCATTCTACAATGTCAGATTCCCGTTGGGTGTTTTAGCACCAGTTAGAGACTCGTCTGTTTTTCCACTGAAATATTTATCTAATGGGTGAAATAATTTATAGATGAGGAACGTGTGTGGACGACTGAGACCTTCGGTGTTGCAGATCCCCCGTTCTACCACTAGATGCTTTTCCTACCATGGTCTGAAGTTTTCTTATGTTTAGGAACATTTTCACACACAAGTACAAAACGATGAATCCCACACAACGCGTAAATTAGCTACTATTCACGACATACGCACAGATCTGTGCGTAAGTGCGGTTGATGAATGAGGCCCTGGGTGTGGTTATTGAAGTAGCAGACCATGAAGGCAGAATACTTCTATTCAAAATGACATTTTTGTTTTAATTAGTTTGATACACAACTTATTCTGAAGATCTTTAATGGAATTATTAAATATGCCGAAGAAAAAAGCTCCCCAAAAAATCAGAGCAGTCTAAGTGAAAACTTAGGAAACCCATTAAAGACTTCTCAACACTTTTCTCTGTTTTAAAACTTAAAATAATGTTTTGTTCTTACTTGTCGCTCCAAGGGCCATTCCATTCCACCTGACCCCAAGGGTTTCTAATCCGGACCATCTTGACTTTCTGACCCCTGAAACTCACCTGAACATCAAATAGAAATAGCTTTGTGACTTTTTACAAGTTTAAAACTTTGAAGGTTTGGTTCACCAATTGAATCGATACATTTGCACGGGTCTCTGGTAGGAATGAATGCTTTGTACGTTGTACTCTAGAGGGAAAAAAGCCCTGGTGCACCACTTCCAGGAACTAAAAACGAGTCACTTCAACGCTGAGCTTGAGACAACAGGATTTAGAATCTTATTCCCACCCTGATGTTTGGATATCTCGCCTCGGACTAGAAAACAGCAGCGCCTCTCTACCAATGACTCAGTTTGGTTTGTAACGTTTTTGTTTGATCTCCAAAAATAACAAGCCTTGAGGAGTTCTGTGTGGTGGAGTTTCTGATGCTAACGGTTAGCTTCTACTAGTCAAGACGTTCTCTGTTGTTTCCTGAACACTAAAGCAACAACAACCTTCCCCATCGCGAGTCAAGATGGAGGAGTCCATTATCGTTCATTGACTGTCACATAGATCTGTCAGGATCTTTTATCCCAGAGATTCATCGTCTATTTTCTATCAGAAGCGAATGCAGGAAATACGTGTTGGAGACTATTTTCATGTTCAGCTTGCGTGAAAAACTTAGAGTGACCGACTATAATCAGAAATAATCAGTAAAACATCTTTTGTAGTGTTCCACACCTTTAAAATCTTCCAAACAGAGAAACATTTTAAGTGGCTTAAGGTGTAATTTGAGTTTTCATGGAGAAATTTGAACGTTTTAATTACCGTAGTGCACCTAATAGGCGCCGAAACTTAAGGAGATTGTTTCCCACACAAGTCTGCTGTAATTATTTACAACCAGTTTAGGATTCCTGCTTAGAACACAAAGCTGCGTTTGACTTTCTTTCTCCAGCGGGACTACATCCTACCCATGGACGTAATTTTTGGGGGGGACAGGGGGGACATGTCCCCCCCTCTTTTTCCAAAGTCAAGTTTTGACCCCTGCATTTTTTACCATCCAAAAACAATATTACGCTATATTCAATTCAATTCAATTCAAGTTTATTTATATAGCGCCAAATGACGACAAGAGTCGTCTCAAGGCACTTCACATAATAAACATTCCAATTCACAGTTCATTAAGCCAATCAGAAATAATGTGTCCTATATAAGGAACCCAGCAAATTGCATCAAGTCACTGACGAGTGTCAGTGACTATACAGCAATCCTCATACTAAGCAAGCATGCAGCGACAGTGGAGAGGAAAACTCCCTTTTAACAGGAAGAAACCTCCAGAGGATCCTGGCTCAGTATAAGCAGCCATCCTCCACGACTCACTGGGGAAATTGACACTGGTTGAGCTCTAGGACCAAGCGGAAAACAACCGTTTGTGTTAAAGCCTGTTTCCCATTAGAGCATACTGCAAAGACCCCCTCCCCCCCCCTCCCCGTGTCCCCTCTACTTCTAAAGTGAAAATTACATCCATGATCCTACCTCATCCACGCCTGTGATGGAGTAGGCGTGTCCCTTCACCAGGCCTGTACTGGTCTTGGCCTCAGACTCTGCAGAGCTGGTGATCTAGAGAGAAATGGAACCATTATGCTTCCTATTATAACTGAGTCAGACACAAATGATTGAAAGATTATATTTGAGTGTTTTACATCTATAGAGCATCCCATCATGGAGCCTCGGTCCAGAGCCTTCTTCATGATCAAGAACAGGTTTTCTGGAGCACTCTTAGTTTCATACGTTTCTCCAACTCCACCAGTGAAGTCCTCCATAGCCTCCATGGTACTGCCGCCTTTCAGAGCCTCATAGCTGCCATTTAGTCTAAAGGGAACAGAAAAGTTCACTGGCTAACATGAATAAGGTGCAGTGGCATAGGAAAGTGTGGCTTCATAAGTATTTATCAGGTTTTTTTCTGCCTAAATGAACATAAGTGCAGATGCTTTACTTGGCGTAGGCTTTTTCCATCAGAGCGCTCCAGAACTCGTTGTTGGAGGCGGAGTGAAGCATGATGAGATTATTTCTCACTGTCGGCAGTCGGTCATCCACCACCACGTCCAGCCATTTGTTGTGCTGCCAGAACTAAGACAGCAAAGAGGACGCGGGTCACAGAAGACTGAAACGGTGAGGTTTACTGGTTCTTAGCCAAGGCTCTTGCCTGAGAAACGTTCATGTTCCTCAGGATTCCCTTTAACCTGTCCAGTTCCGGTAGTTTAGTCAGAACGATGAAGCGGCTCCTTTCCACAACAGAGCTATTTCAGTGCGTGTCCGAAACACTCCTATTGAGTAGTTAACTTTACCGATCCATTTGGAAACAACGGTGGGAACAACACTAAACTAAAAGGCCTAAAAGGTGTTACTTTGACACAAACACTGTTTAACTGTCCTCTGGGTGCATCAACAGTACATTTAGCTGCTGTTGGTGATTTTTAACATGTAATCAATCACACAGGTGTAAAGACTTCTAGAATGGCATTGCATGAGCTGCTCTGTGATTTTGGAGATTGTGGCAGTAATATTGTTTGGTTGCATCTGGACCAGCTCATCGATCTTATAAGTCAGTTATGTCCATACTGGTCCTCAAGGGCCACAGTCATGCATGCTTTAGAGGCGTCTCTGCATCAGCACAGCTGATTTTAATCAGCAGGTTACTAAACGTACCGCAGAGCTGCTGCACAGGTAATGCAACCACTGAATTTGGATTGTGTTGGAGCAGGAAAACAACTAAAACACATAGGATGGTGGCCCTAGAAGACCTATATTGGACACCCATCCGATGAGCCATACATACTTATTTTATGGAAGGAGGCTACAAAGGAAGCTAACTACGTAGCTCCTGCATAGCTCTTTTATTTTGGAGCACATGAATAGAATAGAATAGAATAGAATAGAATAGAATAGAATAGAATAGAATAGTCATGCCTTGGTTCATTATAAAGGTATCTTGGCATTTAAGAAACCCTTCACGTTCTCATACCAAGTTGTACCTGGAAGTGAAAGATGCCAGCGTATTTATAGTCAAAGTCCTGGTTACGGGGGACGACTCGGGCCATTATGTCCTTTTTTAGTGTCAAAGAAGCAATCGCTGCAAGGAGCCAACAGTCGCCTGCAGAGACAATCGTGACGCTTCAACAATCAACGTCTTTACATCAAAGACAGAACAGAACACAGGTACCCACCAAGCTGTCCTTGGCAGATGTCCGTCCTGTCTGCATCTCCCACTATAAACTTTGGGTCTTTGCATATTTCCTGTGGACGTTCAGAAACATAGGGAAGGAGGCAGGCTGGTTGGTATTTAAAAAGAAAAGATACCGGTTATTCTGAATAGGCGTGGTCACATTCCACGCACCTTAATCAGCTTTGCATCCCAGTTGTTCAAACTGATAATTCACACACACACGCTACATGCAAGTATTCACTCTGAAGCTACGCCTTAAAGAGAAATGTCTCCAGTGTGAGTGGTGGGCTGCCCAGCCTGGCTGGTGCTGCCCAGCCTGGCTGGTGCTGCCAGGGACGGTGACAGGTGAGGTGAGGCGGCTGGTGGAACTTCTTATCTTTTCAAAGATTTCATGGTGAAAACCTAAAACTGTTCGTTCCTGAGTGAACATTTCCACCGCCAAGTTCACGAGGGTGAACGGTCTGCATGCAGAGAGGAAACTACACTGCTTATATTTACACAGGTTTCAGGCAGAACTTGTTTTTAGGATGCGATGACAACGTTTCACGTCAATGATCCAACATCAGCGTGATTCTAAATGTGTGGTTTCTCTATATTAGATGAATTATTTCTGATGACGGTACACTGACGCGATTCAGTCATCCCCTCTCAGCTCTAGAACCCCAAAAAGTCAGTTTCAAAAGTCCCGCTCTTTCTTACCGGAGGCCTCTTCCACTGAATCTGGACAGGAACACTCTGGCTGTAGTAGAGTGAGGAGTCACAGGCAGGGAAGTCTGGATCCTCAAACAGGACCCCCTTGTCGAGACACTCCTGTCTCAGCTGCTCAAATGTCTTTCTGTCCGACTGTGCGCTCTCAGCCTGGATGGGATCGAAGCTCCTGGAAGACAGAAGGGACTGGAGAGGCATCTTGTCCTTCAGATATGAGGTTGGAGAGGAAGGTGTGAGGTGAGCTGCGATTGCCTGAGTGGCCTGTTCTGTATCAGATGAAGGGACCAGTCCGACTGCTGGGTAGGGCTGGTTTGTGCACACACCCTAACAGAAACCGGTTTTTCCTCCATAGTGACTCTTCGTCTGCCCTGATCCGCTGGGCTCGGCCTCCAGGAGGACTCGGCTACGGCAACAAAGCAAGAAAATTAAAATCCTAAAAATGGAGAAATGAAAGGTTTCGGATTCTCAACAGCTTTTATTGTTTTAGAACAGAAAAGAATAAGCACTGTTCTACAAGAGCAACAACGGTGTGCCAAATACAGCTGAAGCGTTAGCAAATAAGTGTTGAGAAGGGCGTGATCGGACTGCATCAGGATGCCCTGTAATCAGTGAGTTGCTGGTTCAAACCCTGGCTCTGCCCGTGTGGCAGCCTGCCCTCTGTCAGTGCGCCCGAGGAGGACAGCTGTGGCCAAACGTAGCCCATCACCACCGGTGTATGAATGTGTGACTGTAGTGTAACGAGTCCCTGACTGAGGCCCTGTCCACACGTAGCCGGGGATCTGCCAAAACGTAGATATTTTTCTACGTTTTGGCCTGTCATCCACACAAAAACGGAGTTTTTTCACACGAAAACAGATCTTTTTAAAAACTCCGGCCAAAGTGAAGATCTGCGTTTTCTCCGTTTTGGGTGTCTGCGTGTGGACGGACAAAACCGGAGTTTTAAGGTCCGCAACGTCACTTTCCGCGACAAAAAATGCTGACATCACGTGTGCGACCTGTGTTTACACTAGCCAACAGCATGGATGCCCTCAGAGCTGCGCTCGCTTTATCAATTGTCCAAGCGCTTTCTGCTTGTTTGTTTTTGCAAGAGGAATTACTGCTCCTTGCGGAAGACCACAGACGAAGGACGAGGTTAAGAACGGGGGAAGTACTGCCACCTACAGGTCTGGCATGTCCTTAACAACGTCTTTATCCGGGTACTTGTGGGCAGAGTTTGTTTTTAAATGAGGTGGTGTGGATGCAAGTTTTTGGAGGGGCGGATATTCGTTTTCAAAAAACCCGGCTACGTGTGGACTAGGCCTTAATGTGCAACATCTACGATAGATTGTAATGTTATGTTGATGCAATTTCATTATGATGGAAAGTAAAAGCTGAAAACGTGTCTCACTCGTAAATTTGGGTTAAAAAAGTGAAAAAAATCTGAGAAGAAACTCCAAATAAAAAATGACACAAAAAAAATCACCTAATTTCAAGTCAAGCTGGCAAACTTTGTATCCCGGATGACTCCACAGTTATAGAGAACAGAAAACACACTGAAGATGTCGTCTCCAGTGCGCTCCCACTATTGTCCTCTTGCATTTAGGAAGCTGAATCTGTTGGTTGACCAAACAAGAGTTTCATTGATTACAAAAATGAAAGAGATTTGTAGTTCCAGTCCTCACTGGGCGTGATGCTTCTGGGTTAGAGGTTCAGTTTGTTTAAAATAACTGCAGGAATTTTATTGGTCAAGGACTAACAGAGTCGCACGCAAAACCCCACAAAGAAACAGAGTCAACAAAACAGCATAAAAAAGCACAAGACCAAAAATAAAGACTTCAAGAAGAACCGTGCATCAAAATCTGTATGATTTCGGGTCTGCACGAGGAGTTATGATGTAAAAATGTTCAAACAGTAAGAAGAAACAAGCAAAACACAGAAAGAGACGGGATTTATCGGCTCCTGCCAGAGCAGGTTTGGTCTCACATTCCTAGCTGCAGATCGGAGCTTCACTTCCTCCCAGCCTCTCTGAGCAATGCAGAAAGGTGTGGGGTGTGGTCTTGGCTGCACCCTTCCTATCTGACGTTCCACATCGCAAGGAGTGTCATCTTCATTCCTGCTGCTCTCTCACAGAATTCCTGTCATAGCCCAACACAACAGAGCCAGGCCGGCAGCATTCCCTACCTACCGTCAGCAAATCAGCCTGCAGCATTAAACAAGCACCTGTCTGCAGTGGCGCGTCTGCACTTGGCGTTATTGTTTCACATTTATTTAAAGAGGGCTAACTTCATTAGCTGGGCCGTCTCATTTTCACGAGGGTCTTCGTAAACCAAACAAAAAAGTGACAGAGGGCAGTTGTGAGCATGTGCAGTTAATGAAAGTGGGAAATATTGATTGAGTCACAATAATGATAATAATGAATAAATAATCAACAAAAACATTTACAAACCAACACACACACACTCACTCATTCGGACCAGCTCAAATAGACAATATTCTTAAAAAGGAGTTGTAAGCCGTGTTTACATCTTTAATATAAACTGTTTCCCAGTTTTGTTGTTTCAAGTCTCTTTTTAGTGCATCTATAGCGTTTTGTGACCTATCTCTTATTAGTCTTTGCGTTTTATGTTGAAATTTAATCCGATTATTTTTATAGACTGTAAAAATTGGCAGGTGATCACTGATGTCTGCCATTACAATTCCACTTCTCTCTATTTCCTTTGCAACGTTAGTAAATATATTATCTATTGTAGTTGAACTGTGTGCATTTATTCTCGTTGGTTTGGTTATCAGTGGAAACAGACCCAGTAAATACATTGAATTTATAAAGTCGTTTGCATTCTTTGAGTTATTTACATTTTCCAGATCAATATTAACCATGATATTAACCCTTTGATGCATAGTGGTCACTACAGTGGACAGGTACTTAAAATTGTTATTTATTTATTTTTGCTATTCAGCACAGCTGTTGAAGACTTTATTGCATTTGAACCCCTCCATTTATACTTCAGTAAGTCAAGCCAACATATTTCATGTTCAGATTGCACACTGTCCACTGAGGTGGGCATGTAATAAATTATTTGTAAATTAAATTTTACAAAAAATATGTAAATATAAAATTTGTTTCATTCACACCTAAAGATGAATGAAAAAAAAATTGTTAAAAAAATCATGGTTGAAGATTTCATAATTCATGCATCAAAGGGTTAAAGTCTCCACAGAGAAATCTATCCTTGTTGCAGATTCCACTCAACATTTCAGCAATTGGATTTGTAAATGATGCGACACAGGATCCTGGTGCTCTGTATGTACAACTTATGTTTTTTCTCTTCCTAGAAATTATTTCTATAGTAATTATTTCCATTACATCATTGATGGCTGTTGACATGTTATAAATAACTTTGCTTTTCAAATTATTACAAATATATAGTGCTACACCACCCCCTCTTTTATTTTTTCTATTTAGTAAATACATCTCATAGCCCTCTATTTGTACTTCTTCACTATTACCTTCTTTTAGCCATGTTTCTGTAATTGCAATAATGTGAAATCTTCTTTTGTTTTGTGTTAAAAAAATCCAAAACTTTGTAATAATTACAATACAAACTTCTATAATTAAAGTGAATGATTGAGTGATCGTTGGCCTCATGGAGGGGGCCATCGACTAGCACACTGCTGCTAACCACTAATACATTCTCTCTCTCCTGATAATAACTTTTTGTTTTCATTGACTTTTGATGTGCTACTACTAGTTTATCCGTTTAATTATAGATCCACTAGAATAAATACAATAAAGTTTATCTTTCACCAAATACAATATTTACTAAGACATCACAATATAACTATAGACACATTACTTGTGTGTGTGTGTGTGTGTGTGTGTGTGTGTGTGTGTGTGTGTGTGTGTGTGTGTGTGTGTGTGTGTGTGTGTGTGTGTGTGTGTGTGTGTGTGTGTGTGTGTGTGTGTGTGTGTGTGTGTGTGTGTGTGTGTGTGTGTGTGTGTGTGTGTGTGTGTGTGTGTGTGTGTGTGTGTGTGTGTGTGTGTGTGTGTGTGTGTGTGTGTGTGTGTGTGTGTGTGTGTGTGTGTGTGTGTGTGTGTGTGTGTGTGTGTGTGTGTGTGTGTGTGTGTGTGTGTGTGTGTGTGTGTGTGTGTGTGTGTGTGTGTGTGTGTGTGTGTGTGTGTGTGTGTGTGTGTGTGTGTGTGTGTGTGTGTGTGTGTGTGTGTGTGTGTGTGTGTGTGTGTGTGTGTGTGTGTGTGTGTGTGTGTGTGTGTGTGTGTGTGTGTGTGTGTGTGTGTGTGTGTGTGTGTGTGTGTGTGTGTGTGTGTGTGTGTGTGTGTGTGTGTGTGTGTGTGTGTGTGTGTGTGTGTGTGTGTGTGTGTGTGTGTGTGTGTGTGTGTGTGTGTGTGTGTGTGCTCTGTCTTCTCGATCCCCAGTGAGTCGTGGAGGATGGCTGCTTATACTGAGCCAGGATTCTCTGGAGGTTTCTTCCTGTTAAAAGGGAGTTTTCCTCTCCACTGTCGCTGCATGCTTGCTTAGTATGAGGATTGCTGTATAGTCACTGACACTAGTCAGTGACTTGATGCAATTTGCTGGGTTCCTTATATAGGAAACATTATTTCTGATTGGCTTAATGAACTGTGAATTGGAATGTTTATTATGTGAAGTGCCTTGAGACGACTCTTGTCGTTATTTGGCGCTTTATAAATTAACTTGAATTGAATCGTTCTGATAAAACAGAATCATTTAGTTCTTGATCGCTGTAATATTCACATTCCTTATTCATATGCATGTATATATTATTTTCTAGATACTTTTCAGGGTCATATTTTGTATTCTAGTTCCTCATTTGTACATGTAACATCCTTTGTTTTTCTTTTTTTTCCCTTTATTTACCTGAATTTCGTTTTCATGCTTCTGTAGGAGATTTTACTCCGTTTTACAACCCTCTTCCCACTTTCAGTGATTATTGAATTTTTCCAGATCTTTCAGATGTTTTATTATCTTCTCTTGTGAACCTTCTTGTTCTTTGATCCATACATTCCCATTTCTTGTCCATGTTGCTAGTGCTGCGGTTAATCGACTGAACCTCGGTGCCCAGAGGTCATCCGACCTCCCTGACCTCCGGAACCGCGAAGAGGGTCTCCAAAGAAAGGGTGAGGCAGACACAGCATGAATTGCGTCTGATGTGGTTTTGATAAGAACCAACCTTCTAGTTGCAGACCAATTTCTTTTACAGTTTTTTCCA